CATCATTTGTGTCGATTTCAAGGATGACTTTGCAGTCGTGGCAATCTCCCTTGTCCAAGTGGACCCTTCAAAACGTCTTCCACATCAGGAGAGGTCAAGTAACAACAGAGGTTTTGGACTCCATTGTGGACGTAGTTTGAGGACTCCCCGAGCTTGAAATATCCAATTATTGTCAGACTGGCTGTCCTTCTGGTGAAATAACCTTGGCTGAATCATTAAGGCAGCCTCAACCGGCCCAATTTTCTTCTTTATCAAGGTGACAAACTCACCTTGAAATCTACGGTTAATTTATCTAACCAGGTTGTCGTGGCCTTTGAAGAGAGAGAGAGAGAGAGGGAGGGAGGGAGGGAGGGAGAGAGAGAGAGAGAGAGAGAGAGAGAGATATTAATAATAACGCACAAATGTACGTAATTGAGAACTGTGGCAGCCATTTGCTCTTCTCCGTCCTTCTCCCAAAGTTCTTCAGATGTTCTTCATCCAATGTGGTGATGGATGGGTCATTGGAGAGTTCTCCAGGGCTGTGTGTATGTTGTCTTCCTTCCTTCCTTCCTTCCTTCCTTCCTTCCTTCCTTCCTTCCTTCCTTCCTTCCTTCCTTCCTTTCCTCCCTCCCTCCCTTCCTCTTCTTTCTCTCCTCCCTCCCTCCCTCCCTCCCTCCTTTCCTTTCTCTCCTTTCTCTCTTTCCTTCCTCCCTACCTCCTTCCCTTCCCTCTCTCCTTCCCTTAGAGCAACAGAAAGCCCCCCCCCAAGGCTGACAGTTCCCCCCTCTCCGGCCTCTGTTTTGATCTACAAAAAAAGTCAGCCTTGTGCAGTGGCAGACTGGGGAGGGCTAAAAAAAAAAAAAAATCACCGCATTAGCTGGTTCCCTTCCTGGAGGCCACAAGAAAGTACGAACATGATTCTCTCCTAGTCAGAACAATTTAAAACTGAAAATGGTCTTCCGTGCGACGAGCCTTCATTTGTCCCATCGTCCTTGCACTGCTCTCTTTTCTCCACGATTCCTCCAGTTTTTGCCAGCCTTGCCTGGAAAAGATGTTAACGATTGTACAGGTAGCCCCCCCCGACTCACAAGTGCGTGTTGTTGTTTTTTTGTTCTTCCCTTCGCACTTGAGAATGAAAGGCAGAGGGAGAGAGAGAGAGGGAGGGAGAAGAGAGAGAAGAAGAGAGAGAAAGAAAGAAGAGAGAGAGAAGAAGAGAGAGAAAGAGAGAAGAGAGAAGAGGGAGAGAGAGAGAGAGAAAGAGAGAAGAGAGAGAGAAGAAGAGAGAGAAAGAGAGAAGAGAGAGAGAGAGAAAAGAGAGAAAGAAGAGAGAATGAGAGAGAAGAGAAAGGAGAGAGAAGAGAGAAAGAGAGAGATGAGACTGTTGAAATCTCTTCTCAAAAAACGGACCTCTGCTTTGGAAAGGGATGCATCCAAAGTCAGGGAATTTCAAGATTAAAATTAAATTAAAAACTAATTTCGAGATTAAGTTTCAGGCAGGTTTGTCTCTTAAAGCCAAACATTTGGCAGATGCCGGCAAGGAGGAGAGACTTTTGCAGAAGGAGGCAGCTCGTCTCCTCTTCCAAGTTTTGAAGGTGCCCACCTCAGTCCCTGCCAAAGAGCCTTTTGTGTTGTTGTGCTAGGATCAGCTCCTGGAACACACAATTGCCTTGTGTGTCTTGCAAAACGAGGAGTGCTGTGTTGCCTAGACAACCGCAAACTCCCACACATGCCTGTTTTATGTCGAAATACATCTTGCCATCACTCACACAACCATCATCTCTCCCTCTCTCTCTCTCTCCTATCTATCCCTCTATCAATTATCTCTGTCTGCTGTCTATCTATCCCTTTATCTATTATCTATCTATATCAATTCTCTATCTTTGTCTCTGCTGTCTATCTATCTATCTATCTATCTATCTATCTATCTATCTATCTATCTATCTATCTATCTATCTATCTATCATCTATCAATCTATCTATCTATCTATCTATCTATCTATCATCTATCAATCTATCTATCTATCTATCTATCTATCTATCATCTATCTATCATCTATCTATCATCTATCTATCTATCTATCTATCATCTATCAATCTATCTATCTATCTATCATCTATCAATCTATCTATCTATCTATCTATCATCTATCAATCTATCTATCTATCTATCATCTATCTATCTATCTATCTATCTATCTATCTATCATCTATCAATCTATCTATCTATCTATCTATCTATCATCTATCTATCTATCTATCTATCTATCTATCATCTATCTATCTATCTATCTATCATCTATCAATCTATCTATCTATCTATCTATCTATCTATCTATCTATCTATCTATCTATCTATCTATCATCTATCATCTATCTATCTGTCTGCTGCCTATCTATCTACATCTCTATTTACCTATTATCTCTCTCTCTCTCTCTCTCTCTCTCTCTCTCTCTCTCTCTCTCTCTCTCTCTCCATCCATCCATCCTATATTCTCTATCTCTACATCTACACCAGCCAGGCCCTGGAGCTGAGGCCCCAAAAGAGACTCGCCAACGGTGCAGGGAACTGAGGCAGGCCCCGCCAGGGGAAAGTCAGCATTTCAGGCTTTTGCAGAGCAGCTGAAAAACCAGTCCTGTCCTTAAAAACGGCTTGTCATTTATCACGCTCTGTCAAACTCCGATCCAAACAACTTACTTAATGCAATTTGAAGACTTCTCTCCTGGGGGGGTGGGGGGGGGAGAGGCAGGAGTAGGAAAGCCATGCACACTCTCTAGCGCAGTTGTGAGATGCACACAACCACAACCCTGGCATCCTGCTTCTCTTCTCTCCAGACAGTAAAGCTTGGAGAGAGAAAAAAAACACACACAATCACAATCATAACTTTGTGGACCCATCTCCCACTGAGGAGAGGAATTGTGTTGGGGGCCCCATCAGGCCCAGCAGTCTATCGGATGGCGGGAGCCCCGATCCCCATCCAGTGCGCTAAAGAGGGACGCTGGTGGGGATGTAGAGAG